CCAAGCCTTGAGACGAGAAAGGAGCCAAAAAGACAATCTAGGACGAGACGAGACAACAGGGCCGAAAGACGGTCAAGGTCGAGACGCAATGACGAGAAAGGAAAGGGCAAGGCAGAATGATGAGGGGGACCCAAGCCGACGGGTCTCCTGCCCGACCACTGCCCTGCCACTGCCAGCCTGCCCCAAATTCACCTGCCCTGCCCCCTACACCTGCTTCTGTCACCCTGGCACCTGCTTCTGTTGCCCTTACACCTGCCGCTCCATGCCCCCCGCCCCCAACCCACCTTCCCAATCCCAACCACTCGATCCGGTTCAATGCGACGGTGAGCGCCGACTGCAAATGCGCAGATACCTACCTCCCCTAAGGTACCTAGGTAAGGTAATGTACTGCGCATGCACATGCACATGCAGCATGGTCCAATCCAGTGATGCAACATGATGCAGATACGGGTTGATTCAGATGGATGAGATCAATGACGAAACCATGGGGGGCGCGGGGGCGGTCTTGCTTGGCCCTCTTGCCGTTGGATACGAAGAGAGAGCACCACCTCATGGTCAACGACGACGCCCATGCCCTGAAGTGCAAGTGAAAGTGAAAGTGAAAGTGAAAGGGCAGTATCAAGAGAAACAGTGCCGCGGGACGGTATCGGCCACGCCAAGCCTGTTGCGCTACTGTGCCGTCAGACCGGCCGGCCGGCGGCATGCCTGAATTGACCCACCGCCACCACGCCGACTCTGCCACACTAGCAGAGCCTGTAGGACCTATCCACATGCGGTAGGTCCCTAAGTGCTAGTCCTACGTGCTGTGCTGGTCCTAGGTACATCTTTTTGTCTCCCCACTGTACCTTACCTAGCTACCTACCTCCGGGAGGTAGACAAGGCACGCAGGCACCCTCGGGCAAGTCGTACAGTGGATAGGTCCCTGGAACCCCTGGATCTGGCCCCCTGGCTCCAGCGGGCTTAGCGGCCGGGCATCCACGGTATGACGCAACCCACCCTTCCCACGCTTCCACCCAGACATGCCTTGGGTTGGGTACCTTTCATCAATCCTCCGATCCTCCGTGCTGCACCCCACGCACCCGACTGCCTGCCGGGTGTCACATTCATGTCGACATCTCTCGGGCAGTAACCGGGCACGGGACAAGAGGACATGGTTTGTTTCGCGAGGAGATTCGACTGGCCACTTGTGTGATGGGAATAAAGGCAGTCACCGTCCCCTGGCATCAAAC